AGATGGAGAATTTGTTTGGGATGAAAAGGACTCAGCTATAGTCAGACAAATTAAAGCTGAACTTGAAAATGTACCAACAGTTTATTTTCCTAGACAAGGAGATAAACTAATCCTTGAAACCAATGCTTCAAATGAAAATTGGGGCGGAATTTTAAAAGCAATAGTAAATAAAGAAGAACTCATATGTGGATATAACTCAGGTAAATTTAAGTCTAATGAGAAAAAGTATATTACATATGAAAATGGACTACTAGCTGTTCTCAATGGAATAAAAAGATTCCATATATATTTAGCACCAGAAAAAATTATTATCAGAATAGATAATAAAGCGGTAAGAGATTTTCTAAAAAATAGCAAAGGAGAAACAAATCCCAGAAGGATTCGTTGGTCTAATGCCATTCATAATTGTTTGGAACAATTTTATTTTTCAAGCAGATACTATTAAGCCCGCCTCTTTTACTATTTTTAAAGAGAGGTTCAGGTGTTTCCAATGTTGCTCTATGGATTCGGAAAATACCAACACATCATCTATATAGACTATAGTACACCTCATATAAGAATTAAATATCTCATTCATTATATTTTGTAATTCTGAAGGAGTGCTTATGAGCCCGAATGGTAAAACATTCCATTCATAATGTCTGAATGGAACTGTGAAGGTTGTTTTATATCTGTCTTTTTCAGCAATCTAAATTTGCCAATAGCCTGATTTCATATCAAATTTTGAGAATATTAAAGCCATGTATAATCCATTTTGTAGGTCCTTTTTATTAGGAATTGGGTACCGAATCCACCTTAAGGCTTTATTCAAAGGTTTATAATTAATTACTAATCTCGAAACTCCTCTTTTTAATTCAGTCGCCTTTTCTACATAAAAGGCTGGGCAACTCCAAGGGGAGTGACTTTTTCTAATAAGTTCTTTATGCAATAGCTCTTGGATTTCCTTTTTGCAAATCTCTAATAGTCTGTCGTTCATTTGAATAGGTTGAGCCTTTCTTGGGATTTGGTTTTCATTAAACCCAGGCTCGTATGGTAATTCTACCATATGTTTTTTCCTTCCCCAAACTGCATTAGGGATTTCAGAACAAAGTTCTTTTTCCAAAAGATTTTGGAAGTCTTGTATCTCTTTCTTTATCTTGGGAGTCTCTATTTTTTTGTCTATAATTTTATAACGCATTTCTTCTTCTTCTTTTTTTTTTGATAAAGTTAACTGTTTCATTGAATAAAGAAAGAAGTAAATACAAGTGTTGGGTCTAGCGTCCCTTACAAAAATTGCAATCTACTGGAACCCTCACGGGCAAGGTAATCCCTTTACAAAAGAGCCAAAAAAGAGTCCAATACTGTGACAACAATGCGTTGCCTCAGCAAAAACGGTGAGAGGGATATAACACCACACCCTATTTACAATATGTATGTGAGTAGTGAACAAAAAGGAGAGAGGCTCATCAACTAGCTTAGAGGGAGTCCAAGACTATTTGAGAGGTAAGCTCTGTCATTGGCTGTGAGATCTGCGAGCGCGTTGGACGTCCTGAACGTATGCCTTCATGAGACGCTGACACCCCTACAAATGAATTCAATCTCATCAAAGATCGAAACTATATACCAGGGTGGTATAGACTTTCCGGATGCCCAAGATATAATGTTGTATGCGTCCCTTCAACTATCAAGTGGGATCCCCAAGAGGGGTTAAAAAGCTTGAGCCCAATCAGCAGTGCCATCGCTTCAGCATGTTGTGAATCAGTATAGCCAAGGGATTCGGCGTACGTGAGCAGAATATTCCTTTCATGATCTCGGAATACTCCCCCAGCCCCAGTTGGCCCTGGGTTGCCCCTTGAGCAACCATTGAAGTTGAGTTTGATAGTTCCTCTCAGGGGTGGTTGCCAGTTGTTGGGTTTTTGAGATTTCCTTGGTTGATGAAAAAGAATGTTACCCCATTGGCTTAGAAAAAGGTTTGTGGGTGTACCCGCAAAGACTTTGTGGTTGGTTGTCCAAAAAGAAAAGGAATCTTTCTTTAGTTTGAATCATGTTTTTAACATGATTTATTTATTGAATTTGGGGTTTTTCTATAAAATCAATTTGACCATGTGGTCTTCAAATTTGAAGTGAAAGAAGCTTTGAGGAGGATGAAGATAGGAAAGGCTATAGAACTAGATGGTATCCCTATGGAGGTTTGGAAGTGCATGGGGAAAATTGGCATATGCTGGCTGATTGTGTAAGCTATTGAGGGATCAAACTTATGAGCCATATTACGTAGCGGTGGGAGAGAGTGAGCAACGTCTAATGAAATGAGTGTAACAAAGAATCAATTCGGGTTTATGCTAGGGAGGTCAACAATTAAGGCTGTTTTCCTACACAGGCAACTGATTGAAAAGTTCAGGGAGAAGGTAAAAGACCTCCCGATGGTCTTTGTTGGTTTATAGAAAGTTTACGATAGGGTACCTAGGGCTTTAATTTGGTGGGTGTTGGAATAAAAAGGAGTCTCCAGATGCTATATTGATATCGTGAGAGATATGTGCGAGGGAGTGTTAACTAGTGTGCGAACAACTAGTGGAGAAACAAATGAGTTTCAGGGACAATGGGCCTACATTAAGGGTCAACGTTTAGTCCATATCTCTTTGTTTTAGTTATGAACGAGTTAACTAGACATCTACAAGATGAGGTACCGTGGTGTATGTTGTTCATGGATGAGACTAGAACTGGTGTCAATTCAAAGTTAGAATTTGGAGGGATGTTGTAGAATCTAAAGGTTTTGGAATTAGCTGGACTACAATAGAATATATCAAATGTTAGTTTAGTAATAAATGAAGTAAAAACGGGAAGTAATTAAGATTGATGGCCAAGAAATACCTAAAAGAGAGTATTTTCGATATCTTGGGTCAATAATCCAAGAAAATGGAGAGATTGAGGAAGTTGTCGCACATAGAATTAGAGCTGGGTAGGCAAAGTGGAGATGTGCAACTAGAGTTTAATGTGATCACTGCATACCAATGAAGTTGAAGGGGAAGTTCTATAGGACAGTTGTGAGACCAGTTTTGCTTTATAGGATGGAATGATGGGCGGTCAAGAAACAATATATCCATAGGATTGAGCGTAGCAAAGATGAGAATGTTGAGATAGATGAGTGGTAAGACAAAAAAAGATAGAATTTGGAATGAATATATTCGAAGGAACTTCGAGGTGGCTCCAATAGGCGACAAGATGAGTAGACTTAGGTGCGCTGGCCATATGCAGTGCAGGCCCAATACAACATTGGTTAGGAGGTGCGATTTGGCCCAAGTGGAAGGCTCTAAAAGGGCAAGGGGAAGGCCCAAAAGGATATGGATGGAAGTAATGAGAAAAATATAGGACTTATGGTTTTATTGAGGGCATGACCCTTATTAGAGCATAATGGTGAAACAGGATTTGTGTAGCCGACCCCAAATGGTTGGGATAAGGCTCTGATGATGATGATAATCTGCTACACTACCGCATGATGTTCATATTGGTGGAGTTTATGGCCCTTCAATAAAGAGGGTTTAGTTCAAATTCCTTAATGTACTTTTTGTTGTGTTTTTGTTATATTATATAAGTACTTAAAAAATTATAATATAATCATCTACAAAATGAAGTATATGGACTGTAACCATTATAGGTCATAGACTATATAAAGAATTACATATATATAGATATAATCTGTACATATAAAGCATGTAATTTTGGGCCGCGGCCAAGAGGGCCCAAAAATAAAATGGGCTGCACGGCTCGGGTCTGGGCCCAGCCTGTGGACCTTAAACTTGGGCCTGAGACCGGCCCAAAAGCACGGCATGTTGGCAGCCATAGCTATCAATGGTGGAGTTGGGACATACTGTACCAATCTTTTTTGGGAGTTATTATTTCGTTTTCCTCTCGAGGGCTTTATTGAAGGATGACAATGTGGAAATTATACATGATTACCAGATCCATAGCTTAAGGTTGAAGTACCCTCTAACATCCCTTGAAGCCTCGGTAGCTAACTTGCCATCACACGGTTCTTGACTTCTGTGACCTTTTGATGTGATAGTGCATTACCTAATCTCCCTCCCCCTTCTTAAAATTGAGTTACCTGTTTTTCTGATCCCCAAAAGCGTCATCAGTTACCTTTCAATCTCTTATATGCTGACTTTGTGGCCTCTTTAGTGTTCCAGGGAAGTGCCTGTTTATCTTGTCCCCTTCTTAAAATTGAGTTGCATGCAATGCTAGTAAGTGATGATTGGTCATGTAAAATGAGAGATGATTTGTCATGTAAATCCTTCATTGACATGGTTTTTTTCTTTATCATTATTTGCCTTAACTAAGTTTATTGTAACAAATAGTAGAAATCAAATAGCAGTTCGCGAAACAAGAGATCTTTGCTACTTCATAGAATTAGTTTATATGGTTCTTTCTTTTGATTTGGGAAGTGGAACGGACTTTGGAATTTATTAGAGATGTTACTGTAACCAGCTCCAGGGGTTGAACTGGTGCAGGTCTAGATATGAGAGCTGGTGTGGCCGTGATTTGGTAATCTTTCGAATATGAGATCTTCTTGTAATTCGTGTGTAATAATCCTATGTACCCACAAGAGTCACATCGTTAGTTCCCCCTTTTTTTTATGGTGCTAATGTTTTATATCAGTTGAGGAGTCCAATGTGACATACGTAAAGGACTGGTTTGTCACAAAAAAGTAAGTCACTAATGAACCAATGATCACTCTCACCGATCAAAGGCCATTGGTAATCTTATAAAACTATTGCACATTGGTGGTTTGCACTCCTTATGAACAATACCGTGTGGATGACTTCATAAAAAAATAGCACCTTATACTTGAGTTACACGTGGATGACTTCATAAAAAAATAGCACCTTATACTTGAGTTACACTTAGCGAAGTTTTTGCAGGACGTGTGTTTCTATAGCGGGAATATGTTTTTTGTGTGCTTTTTATACACGTACTTTTAGCTACACGTGTTCACACTTGTCTTGCTCTAATTCAACCTTCTATAGAACTCTCTAGTGAAGGGACATCGGCGTCATCACCAAAGATTCCCATCTCTGACATTGAGAGCGAGCTATGCAATATAAGACTGAGCCTTTTGTTGGAGATCGAGAAGCGAAAACAGTTTGAAGAAGCTCTAGCTGACATGCAATCCAAGTGGCACAGGATGCAACAACGGATGTCTCTTGTTGGATTATCATGTTCGACTTCCTCTTTGGCCACTTTGTCATCAAGCGAAGATGATAGAATTCAAACTGAGGCTATTGATGACCTGTGTAGACAAGTTATGATTGCACGATTTGTGGCCAACTCTATAGGGAGGGGTTGTGCAAGAGCTGAGGTCGACGAGGAGATGGAGTCGAGAATTGATTCAAAGAACCTTGAGATTGCTCGTTTGAGAGACAAGGTCCAATATTATGAAGCCGTAAACCATGAAATGTCTCAGCGAAACCAACAGGCAGTAGGTAAAGTCTATCTATACATACCCTCTGAATTTTCTTTCTTTCTTTTCTTTGGGTATGTGGGATTTGGGGTGGTCGTGTTTATTTTATGTTTCATTAGTCGCTGATGCTTAATATGAAGCATGAATGATCGCAATCAGAAAAGTATATTTTCTGATAAATAGTAGAGAAGTAAGAGTAATAAAGCTGAAAATCATCAGGAATGGGGGTGGGGCATGGGTGTTTAGGGGGGCAGATGCCTCAACATAACATCCCGCCCTCCATTTTCACTGTAAATGTATCAAAAAAATAAAGCTGAAAGTCATCATTTGCAAACAAACTAGGGATAATGATGCCTGCTGGCATGTGATGCAAACAAACTAGGGATAAGGATGCCTGCTGGCATGTGACTAAGTGTCACAATGGTTAAAACCATTGAGACAACATTAGGGTCGTATCTTGGGATAGAAATTCGGCTTATACAACACCATACAGCAGCACTACTGAAAGAGTCATGCGTTGAGCATAAGAACTTCTGGGTAATTTGATGGTGTTGAACAATATAGTGCCCTTCATTTCAGATAATTTTGGGTGGTTTTATTGTTCATAAGCATGGAGAATAATGGAGACATAGTTATTGGGATCCATCTGCCAAGGGGTCAATTCTGTCGTAATGTACAAAAGGTATATGGTCTCTTTGTAGACAATCCCATATATTATATAGTTGTAAATAGTAGATTTAAATATAATAGCATATAGTATAGTTAGGAATATAATAGTATGTATATTATAGTATAGTATATGAATAGTACAATGTTATATACTTCTATAGTGCTCTCTTGGGTCTCGATTGTATAATTAAACATTGGATCTTGATTAAGTTTGAATCAAGCTCCCCCACGTATTGGGATCAAGATCTCAAGGTTTTAGTGTGTACAGATTGTGATCCCAACCATAGGTTGTCTTTTGCCTGTCATGATCCCGTGGTCTCGATGCGGATTCTTGATTTGATTCGATCCGGATCCTTGTAACTATGAATAGAGAGTAGCATTCATGGACCCGACTCTATGGGCTGCCAAGTTAGTTTGGCCCCTTGCCCAGATCCAGTTTACTCGACTAGTTCATGTTAAAAATCCAACAATGAGACCTGCAATAAGGAAATGAATCATAAAAATAAAATTATTAAAATGATGAAATAAAGAACATCCAATAAATATAAAAGTAAATTGTTTGAGTTTATATTGAACACCTGCAATAACATAAATCTAATATTTGACTTAATTAAAATTAACCAAAGTAGACAAATATCATTCGCTATTTTGGGTACATTATACAAAATAATGCCGTATAATTTTGGCTATTTTTATTGTGTAAAAACATGGAGGAAACCATTGGAGAGCAATGCTCACGGATCCAACCCAAGAGCTTCCCAATCAGTGTGACCTGTGACCCGACCATGTTTAGGGCCTTGTTAAAATTTAAAATGTGATCTGAAATAAGGAAATAAATCATGAAAAAAATTTAAAAATTACTAATAAATTATATAGTAAGAAGGAAAAGTCTTCCTAACGTCTATAGGCGAAAATGAATAGTGATTTCATCCACCTTCATCACCGTCTAAAGTTCATCGCGCGGTCACAATTGTCTTGTAGTGTTTCATTTTTTATTTTTTTTTCTACTTATCGGAATGATCTAAAATTTAGAACGTGTGTACATCTTAGAGAGGTGCGCTTAATAAAAATATAAACACAATAATTCGTAAAAAATAAATTGACCAAAATACCTTTAAAATTTTTTGGGGATATTTTGGTCTATTATTTTCATATAAAATATTTTTTTGATATTTTTCGTAGATTCTTCTATTTTTGATGAACACATGCTTCAAATTTCAGGTCATTTCGATTTGTAGAAAAAAAATGAAACACTACCAGACAATCGTGACCGTTCGATGAACTTTGGACGGTGATAAGGATAGGCGAAATCACTGTTCATTTTCGCCTGTTGGCGTTTTGTAGTATCTTCCATAGGAAGAATATCCAATACATATAAAAGTAAATCATCTAAGTTTGTATTGAACACATGCAAAACCATAGATCTAAACTTTGAATAAATTAAAATCAACCAAAAGTAGAAGTAGATTGGTTAGTAAAGTTAATATCTCAAAAAAAAAACCATGAATTACATGTCCAATGACTGACAATCAACCTTAAAAGAAAATAGTAATAATACTAATACAATTGAAACATATATGAAAAAGATAAGACAAAAAAAAGGGGAGATTCTCCGGAGGAAATACGCGGTTTTGATTCTGGCGGCAACATGCTATTGGGTGGCAGTCCCACTTATGGGGCCAAATCAATACTTCTAAGAAGAAAGATTTGAATATCAATATCATCGATCTCATACGTATCATACCAAATCCCATTGATCCAATCACTGTTCACATTGTTTCTTTTTTTATCAGTGAATAGATCACTTTACTCGTACGACTTAGGCGTCTCGTATTTATTGAAAAAGTGAGAATATGGCACCCTTTGGGTAATCTATTTGATTGTATTGAAAGACCCAATGAATCAGGATTTCCCTATCGGTCCAGGTCATTTCGGGGCAAGTAATCATCCAAGTTTGTATTGAACACATGCAAAACCATAGATCTAATCTTTGAATAAATTAATATCAACCAAAAATAGAAGTAGATTGCTTAATACAGAAGTTGATTAAAGTAACATGAAGTACATGTCCAATGATTGACAATCAGTCCTTAAAAATAATAATAATAATACAATTGAAACATATATGAACAAGATAAATCAGAAAAAAGGGAAATTTTTCCAACTTTTTTGGGAAAACAATAGCTTTGGAATAATAACAAAATAAAAAGATAATTTGACATGCCTTGATCAATGTTTGTGTCACAGGCGTGCCAACAATTTCACTTGGGAATTAAACAAGAGCAAAAATTATTCCGTGCCATTATTTTAGGAAAATAATATTAGACTTTCGAAAGCTTAAAAAAACAATGCTGTGCCTTGATTCACTTGTACTAATAAAAAACCTGGTAACAGTCTGTCTTGTTTCCTTTATTCAAAGAAACGAAAAAACCTGGTAACTGTCTATCTTGTTTCCTTTTATTCAAAGAAACGAAATAAAAAAGGATTCTCTTCAATTAAGAACAATTTTCCAAAAAAAAGAAATGGAAAATATCTTCATACCTTTTATATTTAAGTTTTATTTCACAATAGATCCAAAGGTTTTAAAAGATATCTTGGAGCATAAAAATTGTAGATTTTATTTCTTCTCACCCCCTGAACTAATTTAAACTTATTTTGTTAGGTCAAACAAAAATAAAAAAACATCTTTCCTAAAAGTCATCTTCCGAAACTTTTAAAGAGAGAGAGAAGGGCTTCATGGAGGTGAGAGGAAGGTTTGGAGAAACATTGGAGGAGAGAGAGTGAGAGAGGAAGAGAGAAGTTTGAGGTATATAAGTGAAGAGAGAGAAATGATTGGGTTTAAAAAGAACATGCCTTTTAGACATTTGTTTAGGTTAAAAAATAGGTTTAAAGTGGTCAGGGGGTTAGAAGATATTTTTTGAAACATTGAGTTTATCGAGAAAATGAAACCTAAAAATAAGAGATATGGAGATATTTTCCCCAAAAAGAAAAACAAAATGAAATTGCCTTGGTCCATTTAAATTTTATTGCAGTTAAAACTCTAATTTATCTTGGAAAATTTGAAAATGTTCAAATAACCAAAATGGAAAACAGAAAATATGAACATTAAGGTTTTTTTTTTTGGGTAAATACATTAAGGTTTTTCTATGTATTTATTTTTTCTTTGAAAAGTTTAAAAAGAAAATGGAAGCCCTTAATTTTTTTTTATGGTTATGTGAAAAAACCCATCAGCCCAACCAAGTTATGTGACTCAATGGGGTCATGACGCATGACAAAACTCGACAAAACGGATCAACCCAACCAGATTTGGGTTCTTGTCAGGTTGACCCAATTAGCTCAGGACAGTACAACACTCCACAGTTTCTGTTCGTGGTATATCAGGTTTTTGTTCGAGTCTTAGAGTGTTTGGGTCGAGGAGTGTGACCTCACACATTTGGACTTGGGTCGGGTTGATCTGGTTGGGTCTTGCAAGACCTGTAAAATGTCTGGAGAGAAGAAATTGTTTCATGGTGAGATTAAGTCCTTGATGGAAATCATATGTTGAGGAAGTGACTAATGGATAAATTATGAGCAAATTTCTAACACAAAAAAGGATACACTGACGAAAGAAATGCACTTGGAGAGAAGGATGATTTTGAACTGCTTCTATTCTGATTATGAATGTCACGATGTTGTTCTCCATTAAGTTATGCATCATAATGCTCTCTCAATGGTTTTAGGCTTGTCCTTTAGGATTTGATTTGGGTTTTCACAGATCCCGGTCCAAAGGGTTGGATCCTGAATGACTGTTTCCAAAATATCCTCAATTCGAGTTTCTCATGTTTGATTCAGTGTATGATTATCAATGTTTGAAATGTGTTTATTTTTGTTAGAGCCTCTGTTTTCAGTGATCGGATAACAAATATCAAATCATTAATCACTCAAACTCGTGTGATTTTAAATTTTCAGTTGTGCTAACAAAATCTATACATTTTGTGAATTGATAAATTAATGGCCTATTTAGACGACAATTAGTTTTATCTGGAGTATATTATCTTATATGAAATTAATATACTCTAGATAATGTTATTTTGTTAGCCGTTTGGTACGTATTTTGTGTTATGTATAATATTATTTAAATGGTGCGGTTTGTATAGAGCCTACTTTCAAATAGTGTCGAGAAATATGGTTTCAATTCCGGAAATCTTTTTTATAGCCTTAAAATATCTTTTCATCTTTATTTATAAAGTTTAAAGCTTCAAAACTAATGTAGATCGAGAGATCTATGAAAACTTGAAAATCTTGAAATTTGACGGTCCAAAAGTGTGATACAAAATACACTATTTCCTAAACTTGAAATCCATTTTTTTATCATGTCCATGCATCTTGATATCGAGATGATGAATTTGAGGATATTTGGGCATCAAAATAATATCTTCTAGTGAAATTTTTAAGATAGGCTCGAATTTGATTGTTTAGAGCGTCGGCTCTATATAAACTTTTCCCTTATTTAAATATTTAACTTTTCAGTGGTTTCTAGCTATTTTTAGCTATTTCTGGCCAAGAAAATGTATGTTCAGCAAATTACCTTGAATAAAGTAAAAGTAGTTTTTAAAAAATGTAAACTTATATTAAAAACTATCTACGAGGTTATCATCTCAGATAGCTTTATAATGAACACAGCCAAGCAACAGACAATTCATTATCAGTATTAATTTCATTGAAATAGTGAATCATCATATTAACGAGTACGCATCCAAATAGACCCAGATAATATGGCTCTTTATTGGTAATGGAGATTGTATATAATATTATGAATATACAAGGTGTATTGCCCAAAATCCGTGTACTAATCATTTGGTTTTTATGTTGGAGCTGCTCTTTGTTTTTTGATAACGACTGGTAACCCATAAGATGTATTTGATGATTCTGCATTTTATGTATTGTATTTTGAGCTGCCTTTTACTTTTGGATACGACAAACATATTTGATTTATTTATTGGAGAGATGGATAACTGTGCTAGCAGGAAAACTCAACCCTTGTCTATGAAATTCAATTTTGAAATTCGCTATTGGATATGTCTATATCCAAGTAAGTATGTATGTGTTTGCATGTGTGTATGGACACGGGCCTGAATGATTGATTTACCTTTGGCGATTCCTGTAGAAATGGCTCGGAGGCATCGGCAGACAAGGAAGAGAAGGAAGAAGTGGCTTTGGAGTATGGTTGGTATCACCATTGCCTTTGGCACCGCTGCGATCATGTGGTCTTACATTCCTCATGCTCACTGCAGGGAAGTTGAACAAGAGCAGCAGGTTGTGGATTTACAAATGCAAGAATAGAGCTGAATATTTGTGCATCTTCCTAAAGAAAAGCAAACTTGAGATTCATCCCTCCTTTGCCTTATCTTTGCCCTCCTCAAATAATAGTTTGTAATCATGTAATATTTGTGAGAAATAATTGGAGGATGGAGGGCTACAAAAATTTGTTTGCAGTGTGGCAGTAAGTAACAAGAAAGGAGGGTTCTTGTATAGTCAATAACAGGGGGAAGGTATTTTCTTATCTCCTTCCTGTTTGTTGTGCTCTACATATTTCTAATAAAGGGATGTGATGCATATACTTGAATAAAATAATTGTTTTTAGAGATATTGCCTCCCCAAAAAAATCCATATATCTTATGTAAGAGAGAATCCTAAAGTTTCTAATACTTGTGAGAATTTGGTTGAATTTAGACCTGGTTTTCAATAACGGGTTCAATTCCTAAATATAATTGGAAATTTCGGAATAGAGAGGAGAAAGCCTTTCTGATAGCATGAAAAGTGGCCCGATTATGTTAAATTTTATCAATGTCTAATCTTTAATTTTGGCCCTTAAAATCTTATTTGACTCCTTTGTTATGGGAGTTTAACAATGTGACAGCTTACCAAATATATCTATATTCACACTATAATATGTTACTATATAATGCATGAGTGATTCTCTCAAAGGTGCTTTCAAAATGAAATCTGAAGTATTGTCTACGAAAGAAAAAATAAAATTTGAGTTTCCAATGCACCCAATTTGATAGGGAAAAAGTGTATATAAGGTTGCGAACTTAAAAATGTATAATCACATATGCACCTTAAAAATCTATCAGAAAGGTTGTTTTAATGTTGTAAAACCCTCTAATTGATTTCAACATTGAGATGTATGAATATGGGAAAAAAAAAAAAAAATTGAGTCGTAAAAATAGTGTGTCTTGCAATACATTATCTAGACCGTCTATTTTTAAGATTTTCATAGAGATTGACTTTAACCGCTTTTGGAATTTAAAATTTTTTAATTAGATAATAAAATAGATGTTAAGATAATCTTAAGATTTTTTACAAAATTACATATTGTGATAAAATTTGAAGGTGCGCCTTAATTGGATTGATTAAGGTTGCAAGCTTATAGAAACTAATAACCTAGGGCAAGGACAAGATGCGATTGAAAAGGAAATTTAAGGTTTTGAAAGCAAATCCTTCAAGGAATCAAGGCAAAAACCGTTCTAAAAACGATAAGCGTTGGAATTTTAAGGTATTTAGTACTATTTACTCAAATGGATTTTGGGATACTTTTGCGAAGTATTTTGTGTGCTTCAGTTGCAGAACGCCTTCGATCTCTGATTAAGAGGACGAAGCAAAAAGGGCTTAGCGGTCCAGGAGGATAAATTTTTAGAGATTTATTTAGCGCTCTTAATTTATTTTGTTTTATTTATTTTTGCATTTATACGTGTGAGTTTTTTGGTCTTTCTTTTACCTCTTGTGCCATTTAATTTATTTTGATTTAGTCTCAACTCTCAACCACGCCCTATTTTGCGTTCTGTAAGGTTGGTGAAGCTTTTCATGCTCCATCTGTGTAGGTTCAGATTTTCAAACCTTTTTTATATTTATTTTGGGTAAGTAAAAAAAAAAAACGAATATTTCATTATTAAAAATCAAGAATTTTCATAATTTAAGGATATTGAAAATTAAGATTAAGTTTTTATTTTTTAAAAGCTTCGGATAAATATGGAAATTTGAAATTATTTTTTTAACTTTTTGGATATAGAAAATCCAAAATTAAGAATTATTTTATTTTTTAGAAAAATAATTAGATCGTAATTCAGATTTTTAATTTAAAAAAAATTAGACATTAAGCTTTTTTTTTCTTTCTAATTTTTGGATATTAAAAATATGAAATTGATAGTCAATATCATTTTTTAAAATAACATAATTCTTAATTTCTAATTTTTTAAATAAAAATCAACAAAATTCTTCTTTTAGATTTTTAGTATCTGAAAATTAGCAAAAAATAAAGTCAGCTTATTTTGAATAAACATTGGATTATTAAAATTGGAATTAAGTTTTTCTATATAAAAAAATCTAGATATTCAAAATGTGAGAAATGCATAATACGGGTTCTACCTAATTTTAGTATATTGAAAATTTGTAAGTTTTTTTCTAATTTTTTTATATTGAAAATCTGAAATTAAGAATCAAGCTATTTTAAAAATAACATAATATTAATTTCAGATTTTCAAGTAAAAATTAACATAATTGTTACCTTGCTAGGAAGCCAAAATAGATGGTGGAGGAACAACAATTTTACACTTGTGGAGCATGTACGTGCAGCGTTTAAGAAGGAAGGCGAGAGGTTATGTTGCGAGAGGTTATGTTGCTGGTATAAAATAGGGAAATTATTGTAAATATACTTATATTTTTATAAAATAGGAAAAAAAACCTCCAAATTTTCAAAAACCTCGTCTACAACATTTTTTATTATTTTCGGGTTTTTTTGGAGGAAAATGCCCTTTACGGTAATCGTTTTAAGTTTTAGCGCAATTAAAATACCAGTAAAACTGTTAAGTTAGGGAAAAGTTTACATAGAGCCGATGCTCTAAACAATCACATTTGAGATTACCTCAAAACGTTTGCTAGACGAGATTGTTTTGATGCCCAAAAGTCTTCAAATTGATCATCTCGACATCAAGATGCATGGACATGAGAAAAAAATTGATTTTAAGTTTTGGAAATAGTGTATTTTGTAATGCATTTTTTTACCTTCAATTTTCAAGATTTTCAAGTTTTCACAGATCTGTCGATCCACACTATTTTTTAAGCTTTAAACTTTATAAATAAAGATGAAAATATATTTTAAGGCTATTACAAAGATTTCTAGTGTTGAAGTCACATTTCTCGATACTATTTAAAGGTAGGCTCTAATTTGATTGTTTAGAGCCTAGGCTCTATACAAACTGCACCCTTTAAGTAATATTACGGTACTTAAAGTACCATAATATATTACATTTTCGTTACGATATTCTTTGTACCATAATAGGTTAAAGTTTTACTACAACAATCTATATGTTGTAATACTTTCGCACATTATTAACCCTAACCCGAAGCCCATTCTTTCTTTACGGTGTTTTTGTTCTACCATGAGGAGCTCTCAACCTTTTGGTCAATCTCTCACCAATCTCTCATCTCTCACGGTCTTTCTCCCTTATCAGATATTTGATCGATTGTATTGTTTTTATAGGTTATAGATGCATTAATGTATATGGGTGCGTTTTCTATAAGGTTGCAACCTTAAACAATCCAATTAAGGTTGAACTCCAAATTTTATCCTAACATGCAATTTTGTTGTAAAACATTTCTTAAGATTATCTTAAAATATATTTTCATATTTCATTAGAAAATTTTAAACTCAAAAAATGGTTAAAATCAAGAAGATCTATAAACATATGAAAATCTTGAATATGGACGGTCTAGATAATGTGTTGCAAGATGCACTATTTTTTAGACTAAAAAACTTTTGTTTTTTATATTCATACATCTTGATGTCAAGATGATCACATAGATTTCCAACATTAAAACAACCTTTCTAATAGATTTTTAAGGTGCATCTATAATTCTACATTTTAAGGACCAAAATGAACAGTGATTTCGCCTACCTTCATCACTGTTCAAAGTTCATCATACGGTCACAATTATCTAGTAGTGTTTCGTTTTTAATTTTTTTTATACAAATAAGAATGACTTAAAATTTGGATGGTATTTACATCTTAGTGAGGCACACCTAATAAAAATATAAAACAAATAATTCAAAAAAACATATTGACCAAATACCCCTGAAACTTTTCGAGGGTATTTTGGTCAATGTTTTTCATGTAAAATAGTTTTTTTGATATTTTTCGTAGATTTACCTATTTTTGATGAACACACGCTCTAAGTTTCAGGTCCTTCCGATTTGTAAAAAAAAACACTATCGAACAATCGTGACCGTGCGATGAACTTTGGACGGTGATGAGGGTAAGAGAAATCACTGTTCATTTTTACCTATAGGTGTTTTGTAGTATGTGTGTGTGTGTGTGTAGACTCTAAATGTACTACATATTTAACATATCAAGATAGTTATAGACTTGAAAAAAATTGTAAGTTTTTTTAACCTTAATTGAGAAATATAATGATATTTTTTTATTATTCTGCTGGATTGTTTGGATGGTGTGTGAAAATACAAGATTTCATTTGCTCGATATCTGTATGGGTTTGTGTTATTGTTGGCACAATCTGCCAAGGAAGCTCCATTATCGGCACTACTACTGGTCCAAACACTTTAAATCTATTTCACAAGATTTTTGGATTGCAATCCCAAAATATTGTAATTTTGGGTACATCCAAACTAGCCCTTAGAGAGAGACAGAGACATCAATTAGTGCATATGTTTTTTAAAAATCAGTGCAATTTGTTTTTTGGAATATTGAAAATTGTTATGCACACAACAACAAGTCGAGTAAAGGTTGACATATCAATTGCATGCATTATTTGTAGCTTATAATTTAGGGATTTTCTACATATTTTATTTGCATCATAATTGTCATTGCTTTACATAATTATCCTATACTTTGGTTTCTTTAAGTGAGAAAATTTCATGATCTTGATTTTGTTAACTCATTTTTTGTGATTATGCTATGCTATATTTTTGTTGAAAATATCAAATATCCTTGTAGACTATCTCTCTTGTGCTAAAACATATTCATATATTTCTTTGAGGTTGCAGCTCACTAAGAGTCGACAACCTATTGATTTGACTGGCAGACAATCCTGTTCTTCTAATTACTGTGATTAAACCTACTTAATTCACTTGTACCAAAAGAGTCCAGTATGATTAAACCTACTTGATTCACTATGACTAAACCAAAAGAGTCCAGTGTAATTACTATCAGTTTGTTGTTTATGGGATCATGGCATAAGATGTATCCTTCCCTGGAGGTCCTGAGATTCCTACATTGCTTAATAGACAGAAAGAACATATATCACAGAAGATCTGGGAAGGAGATGTATGTACAAGTTTTTAAAATTATATTTTTTTTCTATCATGTTAGTTAATCAATTTATCTATTTAAGTAACTGCAATCACAAATTCCATTTCATGATCAAGAAAATGCCCACAGGGTTGATGAGAAGCCCAATGCAACTTCTTTATGGCCTTTAACAAACAACGATCAAATTGATTTGGTTCGGAGATCAAGATTGTATTATTTGACCATAGTACCGATGACTCGGCATGATCATGACATATTTTCTACTATTATCGAGAGGTGGCACATAGAGACGAACACCGAGCACTTCAATGTAGATGTT